ATGAGTTATGATTGCAGGTGTTTAGTGTATTGAAGTGTAATTATGAGGTTGATTTGTTTTACATTGGCGTGGTACTTCTGCGTATAAAAGGTCTTCCACGTGGTTTCTGTGATTGAACAACTATTTCTTCTTTTTCAACGTTGTATCTTACACGAGCAATTCCTCGGTTTTGGTCGTAGGATATAATCTCGCTAGTATGTTCCGAATGAACATCAGAGCTGAAGTTACAATTCACAAAGTTCTTACTCATTGGAGGGATAGTATTTCCATTGTATGGATTTTTGGTGCAACAAAAGATTCGTTTCAGTATGTTAAAGCAACCGAACCGTCGGCAACAGTTGAGACAAGTTACAACAAATAGTATTGATCCGACAATAGATAATGCAATGGTATACCATTTAATATGTTGTATTATAAATGGTTTGTTCAATTGATCTGTAACGATTTTATCAAATTCATCTAATTTATTACTTGCGGATTTTAATTCAGAAAGATTCAAACTCGTCAGTTTGATTGGAGTTAGTTGAATAGGAATGAATTTATTAAATCGTCGTTTGAGGAGGCAACAGTCATCGCTGGTGATGTCTAGCACTGGGACATAATGGGAAATATTGCGATTTGTGTCACTAGTTGCTTCCAGGGTGAAGAGGTCCGTGTATCCTTTACAGGATGGATCCAGTTGAAGAATTCCAGTCTGATGCAATACCATTGCTTCTATATGGTTTTGATGACTTTCGCAAATAATTGTTACTGTGATAGGTTTTTGAAGTACATATATCCATTGATTGTTCTTAATGTATTTCCATGTTTCCATTTCTGCTTGAAAAGTCTTCGTTCGGCAATCCTCTGGAATTTGCTTCAGTTGTGGGAACAGGAGTTGTGTCTTGCACATCAACTGGTCGGTCCTTTTATTTATCTGTACTTCATGGCAGATGAAGTGTTGATCCAGGTACTCGATACAATTTATTAGATCCTTGAGGAGAGAGGATAAGGTTTTTGACTGGGATAATAGTAGGAATGGTTGCTTAGGTTCAGTATAGGAGAAAATGCTACTGGTATTATGTTGTATCGGAAAGGGAATTAACTCATATAGATTGAGTAAAGTTTTGCCAACTAGTGAAATTTTTATGGCAAAGATAATTACTCCATCTTTCGATATGACATTTACTTCTAATATTTTGAGGTACAAATGAATATTTGAATCGTCTAATGGAATGGGAAAATCGTATTGCCCTTTATACTTTGCCAATTCGTAAAATGGGATACTTGGCGTAATAATTTGAGGTGACAATATACCATGTCTACCTAGATTTATTGAATTGATGTGCGTTTCGTATTCATTTAATAATCGTGTGGTCATGAATGATAGAGGCATTATATGTTGTGTTAAAACAGCTTGCATTTTTAAATCGTCTAGATATTGATTTGTGTCTACTGACAATTTATTGATTAAGTCAATGTTTTTATTTAATCGATTTTCATTGAGTTTTAAAGAAATCACTGAATTATTAAAGTTCTTTATTGTGCTAGAAATCACTTGTATTTGCGATTTTAAAAGAGTCTGAGTTTGTCTATTGTTATTTAACAAGGCATTAATACTGTTAGTATAAAATTGTGCATCATCAGCATCGGGAGTACCAAATAACCAATTAAGGGCGTATGATACGCCGTTAATTAATCCACGACGTTTTCGTACATGAAGTTTTTTTTGACCGGACAAATGATGTATTATTTCATTTTTTGCAATTATATCAGTTAGCTGATCTTCAATTATTTTTAATGTTTGCTCACAATGAAATATCATGTGATTATGTTTTGACAATTGACTTGATGCTACTGCTCAGAGTTCCTTTGACTGTAAAAAATGATTCGCCTTCTTGAATGCCTGATTAAGCTGAGTAGAATTGATATAACTGAGTAACGTTAATTTAGAATTAGTGATTTTTACTTCGCCTAAGTTGCTGTAGAATATACCACTGACTGGTTATAAGTTTTTACATAAGTGGACGTGATATAGAATATTGGTAGGAGATGAATTATGATATTAATCAGACGCATCTGAAACAAAGGATTTTATCAAATTAGTGAGATACCGTTTCTTTTGTTTTCCTACTTGAATTTCGACTATTTTGTTAGGAAATATTCTTGTTATTTTATACGGCCCCTTGAAATTTGGGGATAGCTTTTTGGATAAATTTGTTCTTGTTTGTTTATTATAAATGCACACTAGATCATTAATTTTGAATTCCTTTGAATTAATCCTTTTATCATAGTATTTTTTACTTCTAGTTTTTGAATTGATTATATTTTCTCTAGCTATCTTAAGTGATGTATTTAATTTGTTCTGCAAAGATCTAATATAATCATCGTAGGAATAACGAAAGCTTGGTTCTTGAGTAACTGATGACGGCAGATATGCTCGATGATCGAATAAGAGTTCATAGAGTGTAAAATTGGTAGACTTATGATTTGAAGTGTTATAACTAAACATCGCGAAGGGTATATATTCGTCCCAATCCGTTTGATCGGATTTTATATAATGTTTGAGATAGTCCTTCAACGTTAAATGAGATCGTTCGAGTGCGCCGTTCGTCTGCGGGTGATATGGCGTTGTAGATAAATGTTTTGTTTTAAATAATTTAGTCAAATTCTTAATTAATTGTGACACGAAATCTGAACGTTGATCTGATAATATAGATTTAGGAATACCGAAATACGTAATAATTTTTGTCAGGGTTTCCGCAATTGTTAATGATTCATGGTTAGGTATTGGTTCTGCGAAACTGAATTTTGTTATATCATCTTGCATGGTTAAAATGAATTTATTACCGGATTCGGTCAAAGGTAAAGGACCAACTATGTCTAAAGCGAATCTTTCAAATGGTTGCTCGGAAGCAGTAGTAATTTCCATTGGCTGTTTCGTAGATTTGAAATTAGTTTTATTTATCTGGCAAGACGGGCAAGATTTGATATAACTTTTAATATTTTTTTTCACTGAATCCCAATAATAGCGCTCTTTTATTTTTAAATATGTTTTATTGAATCCCCGATGTCTTGAAAGTTTACTATCGTGGTTTTCTTTTAATATATTTTCAATTTGTACCGAATTTTTAGGTTCGATTTTATTATTATTGTATATTTTAATTTTATTTAAAAAAAATATGAACATTAACATCTTAGAAAGATGAATTATGTTTACATTATGTTTCTTATCTGGGGGAATTAAGATGAACTGTTCATCCCTAACATAGGGTCTCGCATTTTTTGGAGAGCACGAGACTGGACGTACGCTTTCCCGATAGCGGGGCAGTTCATTGAGGTCCCCATGCCTCTTTGACAAACCCCCGTGTCGGGTCAAAAACCACGATAGCGCTGATGTCCCCTTATACCAGACGATGCCTCGGCATCGGACTGGGCTGGGAATTTCGGCAAAGTCGGTGGGCCTCGTGTGGTCAAGACCACTCACCTCACCTTCACGTGGGGCTCTCTGTGACTCCACCGGCACCCGCCGGTACGGGGGACGAAAGAGCGAGTAGCAAACGAGAGGTCTCCAGGGGCCAGGCTGCGTGGCGGTCCGGTACGGGCTTGCGCGCCTGAATTGCCCGAGCATCTTATACCGTAATCGGCTGTCGTTGCAACGACCCACCGGTGGTGGATGGTGTAACAGCCATCCACGCCGGTGGTACGCGCGGCAGTGGGCCGGGGGGCTTGCCTTAATCGGCGGGCCCGTGAGAAGAACAACCTCTGTAAAAAATCCCTAGCCCCAAGCTGTGGAACGCGGTGAGGAGGACGTGCCTGGAGTAAGCACCAGGCATACCTGATGGATGCATCAGTCGCTAGCGCCAACCCCAGGGTACCTGGCGACCCCCTGGGCGTATAAGCCTTCCCTGGATATGGCGGTTCTGCCCGGAGTGACCGTCTTTTCGACGACACTCGTGGGATATACATGGATTCCTTAAAAATAAAAAACGGGGTGGGGGGTAACGAGGTGATGCAAGGCGGCGCTGATTTACTCAGTGTCGTTCTAAGTAGGTTGGAGGACGTCAGTTCGAGATCCATATCAGGATCCAACCGGGCCGTCGGAGACCGTGAACGGTCCCCAATAAGGATGGCAGGAGGGGGCGAGCCGGACAACCTCCGATCCGGCTCGCCCGGAGCAGAAGACGGCATGCCTCCGCTTCCGGCCGAATCAGCGAGGAGGACGACGGAGCTACGTCCGATAGCTCCACCTTCTCGTCGATGTCGACGCAGTCGGCCGGAATGGCGAAGAGGCGCGGCCGACCGCCGACAACCGGCGAATACGTCGGTTTGGCGGCGGCCAAGCTGCAATTCGTGGAGGCATGCCGGGCTGAGGCGGAGGTGCTGGAGGTTGAGGCCATTCTAGACCTCAGCACCCCGGCACGAAAGCCCGGCAGACATTCCAACCCCTTGCCAGATGAGGTAGATCTGGCAAGGGAGTATAGGAAGAGGCCGACGGCGAACGTTGCCGCCTCCGTCATGGACTTCCAGACGGAGGTGGAGAGGGTGGCGTCCGTATCCAAGGGCCTCAAGGGCAACTTGGTGCAGGCGTTGAGGATTGCCGCCCTCAACACGAGGAAGGCCATAGAGGAGCTGGCGGCGTGCTCCTCCTTGGCCTCGGCCGGGAAACACCAGGAGGAGAATGATCTCCTCCGAGGGGAGCTGGCCGACATCAGGAGAGAGGTGGCCGCAAGGTTTGCTCCAGCGATGGAGCTCCCTCATGGACGCGAAGCTGAAAGTGTTCAAGAGGGAGCTCAAGCCCACCGGGGGCTCAGGGGCTGGAGTTACTGGCCCCTCCTTTCGACCGGTGGCGACACCGGTAGTCGGGGAGAGCGACGGGAAAGCCGCGAAGAAGGTCTCCACGAAAGTGGCGAGCTCCAGAAAAGTCCGCTCCGATAGAGTGGGCGAAGGTGGTGGGTAGTAGGCAAAGGAGGAAGGAGGCGGCTGCCTCCACCTCCACTCCTCCCGCCGCCAAGAAGGGAATGCCGCCCCAGACCAAGGCAATGGAGAAATTCACTGCCAAGGCCAAGGCCGGGGTCGGGGCAAGGATGGTCCCCGAGAAGGTCCTCCCGGTGAGGCCCCCACGCACCGCGGCCATAACCGTCACGGTACTGGCGGGGAGGAAGCTAACTTACGCGGAGGTGATGTCCACTGCTAAAGCCAAGATAAGCTTGGCCGAGGTGGGCATCGTCTCTTTGCGTCTGAGGAGGGCCGTAACGGGGCTCTAATATTAGAAGTCCCTGGCAAGGACGAGGTGGCGAAAGCCGACCAGCTCGCCACGAAGATTGCGGAGGCTTTGGAGGGGACGGGGGTGAAGATGGTCCGTCCATCCAAGAAGGCGGAATTGCGAGTCCGCGGCTTGGTGGACGGGACCACCCCCTCAGAAGTGGCGACCGCCGTTGCGACTGTTGGAGGGTGCCGGCCCGAGGAGGTTCAGACTGAAGAGATCCAGTCTTCACCCTCGGGTTTGGGCACCCTGTGGGTCCGATGGCCGATGGCTGTGGCCAGAAAACTGGCCATAGCTGACGCTACAACCGTTGGGTGGACCCGGGCGACGGTGAAGCCACTGCAGGCCCGGCCCCTGCAAGGCTAGTGCCTGCGGGTCTTCCCCGAAATGTCTGGTCTGCTCGGACATGGGGAGATCCGCGGCACACCGCCTCGGGAGCCGAGCCTTTTTTTTCACCCTGGATAACCTGCATCAGGCACCCCATTCCAGTGGGGCTGGCGAGGGGTAGTGTGAGATTTTTACTCACTAAAGCTCCAGGGGTGTTCCAGCCTCGGCCATAACAGGGGGTGCACCGGAATAAAACATTTACCCTCAGTGACACCCCTCGGCACAGTATATGCCAACACGATACGCTAGTATTTCGCAACACTGACAGCATGGCAAGACTTCATGCACAAAAACGCGATCAAGACCCTCGCGGATCACGGGACGCAACGTGAACACTCCGACTGCGTCCTTCCCGCTCCAGGACCAGTGCAAGAGTCGCCTCTAGCCCCGACTAGAGACGACTTGGGCCCTCTGGCACACCGGTTCCGTGGGTTCCGGAACCCCGGATTTCTCGCCCGGCGACGCCGCCGACCCCGCCCCCCACCCATTCGAGAGGGATGGGAGTTCCGCTCCCTAACCCTCTCCGCCGCCTCCTTCTGCAGCATCATGTGCTCGCAGAAGGAGACGACGGCTCCCCGTTTTTGAGCCCCCTCCAACAGGGCCCTCCTAATGAGCGCCGCT